GTGTGTGTGTGTGTGTGTGTGTGTGTGTGTGTGTGTGTGTGTGTGTGTGTGTGTGTTACTACAGGCACACCCTCCTCCATCTGGATCACACACCAACCCTTACATAACGCCGTCCCCACCCCTGCGCTGCAAAACAAAGGCTTCCTGCCAGCAGAAACAGCAGCCGAGTGTTTGTTTACACGATGAGCGGGAACGCGTCTGTTTTTATTTACACGTAAACAACCACGACAACAACGCCTCCTGACACAAAGAAATCACTGTGTTTCACTGGTGAACCTGCAGATGGGTTTTCTGTTTCATCTGTTTCATCACCTGATCGACTCGTTACCGAACACAACAAGAGTAAACAAACAAATAAACCTGTGAATTACACTTTAAACTCTGGATTAATCCGGATTAATTGGTTTGTTTTCGTGCTTCGGCTCATTTCGTGAAGAGAAAAGAGTAAAAAGTTGCAAGTGGAGGATGAGGAGTTGGTTCTGCAGCTGCCGGCTGATTGTTTCTGTGCAGCGACGTGTTCAGCATGTTGAGCCACAACCTGCAGCTCGCTGCTGTTAATGATGCATAAAGAGAGGAAGAGGAGGCAGCTTTACGTCTGTGTCACCTCTGATCAGGAGAAGAGGAAGAGGAGGAGGAGGAGGAGGATTCACCATGAAGCTGAAATATTGATCTCCACAGCAGGAGGCTGCGTGGGCGCAGACCTACAGAGGAGCAAGACGATGAAGAGCGTTAAAGCTCCGGGGTGGTGGTAGCAGAGAGTCGTTCAGTAAATCAAACATTTAGGCTTGTTTCTGTTTTCACAGAAGATACGAAGCTAAATATTTAGCAAATAAATAATAAAAAGGTTTTCATCCACATAAAAACAACTCAGATCACTGCAGTGACTCTTCCAGGCCTGTAGGTGGCGCTGTGACACGAGCAGATCACATCAGCAACAAAAGTTACAAGGTTTCAAATTAAATAAAACTAATTTACAGCAAGAAATTTAAATAAGGTTAAATGTCTATATAATTATATTTTTATTTAGCATTTTACCGCTACAAACAAAAACAGGAAACAAGGAGCGCCGCGTGAAACTGCACTCATGACCACTAAATCCAACATCCCGTCTGACACGCTGCTACAGAAATAAACTTTCATTTTTGTCACTTTTTATCCAGTCACACACATTAGCAGCTGCGTGTTATTAACTCGCGTTGCTAATAGCTAGCTTGGTTAGCTTAGCCACTTAGCACAAACCATTCTTTTACAGTTTGTGAACAGAAGGCGCTAAAGTCAAATCTGAGTGCTGGGTAACGAAACATACAGTTTGCAGGTTGGGTTGGAGGCGGGGCTATGACATTGTTTTCAAAAGGTTGTGTTTTGGCTGTCTACACAAAAACAAAACGTTGGCGTTGCAATAAATATATATATTTTCTGGCATATTTTCATTTCTTGGGTAGATTAAATCTAAGATGGGAGAGATACGCAAAATGTACGAAACGACCAGGTCTGAACCGTACGATTTGTCCATCTGAATGACAGTTCGTTACTGAGGAGAGGATCAAAACAGGAAGTCAAACTACCACTAGCTTAGCTTAGCTTAGCTTAGCTTAACGGCTGGAAACAGCAGAAACGTCCTCTGCTGCTGATTCAGTTGTTTTGTGTTTTTAAGCTGGTTGCAGTTGCCAGGCAACCGTCAAATTCACCAGGAAGTAGCCCGTCCCGATCGCTCATCACTGATAACAGATAAAACTCACAACTTTCACTTTCAGGATGAACCCAACAACCGTTCCAGTTCCATCTGGTCCATCTGGACCCACCAGGCTGCGGGTTTCAGGTCCAACATGAAGGAACTCGTCCCCGACACGCCGCCGGAAAAAAATCACTTTGATGCAGAGAAGATTTACTTTACAGGCCGAAGAAAAAAACTTCACAAAGTAAGAAACTCATAAAAGTTCTGCTGCAGAGTCCTGCCGACCCGTCAGAACCAAACCGGTCCTCATAAAACAGCTACAGAAAGCAGCAGAGTGACAGCTCTGACTTCCTGTCTTTGTTCAGGCCGACACCTCAGGGAGAAGTCTGGGCCAAACCGGGTCAGAACACTTACAGAACCGCAGGGTCCGGATCAGAGTGTGCAGACGGTCCACTTCTTCCTCTGGACTCTGTTTTAAACACGTCTTCTTTTGTTTGGGAACTCTGAGTGTGTCAACATGAGCTTCCTGCCTATCAGCTGTGGCTGAAGGAGGCGGGGCTTACAGGGGAGGGGGCGGGGCCTGCGGTTTTTCACAGAATCCAGTGACGAGGAGGGGAATTCCTCTAAGGGTCGGGGGAAGGGCAGGGCCCGGCTGAACAGAACCGCCCAGGTGATGTCACTGAAACCAGCTCCGGCACCTCCGGGGGATCCTCCCCCCACCCTCAGCAGGCGAGGAAGACGTCTGATCCTGCAGCTGTTTGACTGACGAAGCTGCAGAGCCGCAGCTCGTTGGTTCTGATCCGTTCTGACTCAGACATCAAGCAGAAACACAAAGCTTAGAGTCCAAACTGAAACCGTTTTAAACCATGACAAACTTTTACCAAAACATCTGGAGTGAAGTTTACAGCAACGTTCCACTTCCTGTTTGCAGCATCATTAGCATGGTTAGCATCATTAGCATGGTTAGCATCATTAGCATGGTTAGCATAATTAGCATGGTTAGCATCATTAGCATGGTTAGCATCATTAGCATTTCTGGCTGTAAACTGACTTCCCTTCAGTGAACAGAAACACATCAAACCATCCAGTTTTACTTTTATTTTCCTGTAAAATCAAAACCAACCAGGACCAGGACCAGGACCAGNCTAACCAGGACCAGGACCAGAAACTAACCAGGACCAGGACCAGAAACTAACCAGGACCAAGACCAGAATCTAACCAGGATCAAGACCAGAAACCACGTCAGGTCTTTACAGGATTTTTTTTCAGCTCTTTGCAGCCGAGCATTGCTCTGCTGCTTTAGCATCACAGGTCATTTCGGCTGGTGTTAGCTGTGCGTTGTTTCGGCTGGTGTTAGCTGTGCGTTGTTTTGGCTGGTGTTAGCTGTGCGTTGTTTTGGATGGTGTTAGCTGTGCGTTGTTTCGGCTGGTGTTAGCTGTGCGTTGCTTCGGCTGGTGTTAGCTGTGCGTTGTTTCGGCTGGTGTTAGCTGCGCTTTTTTCGGCTGGTGTTAGCTGCTCGTTTTTTCGGCTGGTGTTAGCTGCTCGTTTTTTCGGCTGGTAGTAGCCGAGAGTCGTTCTTCAGCTGTTCTGAAACTGAACCTGAAAAACTTTTGATTTGATGGATTATTAAACGGAACCCTTTGATCTTCACATCAAACAGAAACATCAAAGCTTCGGGTTTTTGTCAAACGTTTCGGCTGATTTCAGACTGAACTTCATCTTTTTCTTGTTGCTGCATCTTATTCTGGTTCTGGTTCTGATCCGCCCACCTCCACCTCCTCTCTGCAGGAAGTCAGGTTACATAACGGTGRGAAGAGTCTTCATCCTCCTCTTCATCGTCTCTCAGCCTCCGTTCAGATTATAAATGAAGCTGAAGCAGATTTTAATCTGTGAGATCAAACAGATTTTATTTAAATTAAAACTGAATTTAATCATTTAATGTTTGATCTTTTGTTAGAATCATCAGGAAGTTTAATTAAACTTTAAAAATGTTTCCAGGAGGATTTTMTTTTAAGTTTTTGGTGGTGATGCTGCAGCAGGAAGTGAAGAACCTGGTTCTTCCTGATGGTTCTGGTTCTGGACGGGTTGGTGGAGCTGAAGTTCACTAAAAGCTGCAGAAACTCAGTTTCTACTGTTTGAATGAAAATAAAAACTTGATTTATTTCTTTTATTCTGTTTCTCCTCATCGAAACAAGAAGTTCATGAACGAGAGCAGAACCTTCAGAACCAGAGAAACCCGGTGACACAGAACCAAAGTTCAGCTCAGACACAAGCAGACTGAAAGCAGAAGCCGGACCGTACCTGATCAGAGGAAGAGGAGTGAAACCGGTTTCCTGCCAGTTCAGACTCGCTCACGGAGAACCCCCCAACATTCCTGACCCACAAGAACCGCAGAACCTCCCGGTCCGTCCATCTTCTCACACAGCTGCGTCTGAGCGCTCCTCTCTGTCCTTCGTCACTGCAGCTCCCCCCTCCTCCTCCTCCTCCTCCTCCTCCTCCTGGGTTTAATCCATCCTCTAACGAGGGAGAACCTCCCAGCTCGACTTCCCCGGGTCCAACAGAACCGCTGAGAACAGCTCAGCTCTTTCCTCCTCAGCGACCTGAGATTAGCTGCTAACATACATGTGGATATAAATACTGCTCAATCTGCAGCCGACCAATCAGAGCGCAGCGCAGGAGGCAAACAGCCGAAGCTGCAAACAGCCGAAGCTGTTTGTCAACAAACATTCTGTCACTCAGAGAACTTCGGCTGCTTTTCTTTACGTCACAAACTTTGAAATAAAAAATAATATTCCTCAGGTTCTGATGGAGCTCATCTGAACCCAGTCCAGACCTGGTCCACATTGGTTAATCAATTAGCTGTTCTGGACTGAGACCTGTTTGAAGGTCCCATCAACAAACCAGGACCAGGATCAAAACCAGAAACTAACCAGGAAAAACCAGTGAGGAATGGACCCAGCAAAGAAACTCCGCCCACATTTACCAGATGACCTGTCTGATCCCTGACTCCGCCCACAGTTACCTGATGACCTGTCTGATCCCTGACTCCGCCCACAGTTACCTGATGACCTGTCTTATCCCTGACTCCGCCCACAGTTACCCGATGACCTGTCTGATCCCTGACTCCGCCCACAGTTACCTGATGACCTGTCTTATCCCTGACTCCGACCACATTTACCCGATCACCTGTCTGATCCCTGACTCCGCCCACAGTTACGTATATAAAACCAACTGAATTGCAGCCATTCTTCTGTTGCTGAAGACAGATATTTTGCTAACAGAGACACAAAAGCTTCAACCATGACTGTCTGCTTTCAGCTGTAGCTGTTAGCAATCAAAAGCAGCTGAAAGGAATAAAAGCTGTTCAGCTATTTCAGCCGAAGTGTCGTCAGGTCTTTATTTTTAAAGACTCTGATGGTTTTTGGTTTCCTTGTTGTTGAATAAAAACAGCAGCTGTGATTGGCTAAAGACAAAGTGTCAAAGTGAATAAATCCAGCCCACAGTCACACTCACACACACACACACACACACACACACACACACACACACACACACACACACAGAGTTTGTTGAAAATAATTTTAGCTGTTTCTCTCCTTTTATCTGTAGAAAGGAGAGATGAAATTAAGGTTAGCCTTTTATTGTCTAATTTCAGCTACAGTCTTTCTTTCTTTCTTTCTTTTTTCTTGTGATGAATTCACTTTTGTGCTTCCTGCTAATTCTTTTTGTTAGTTTTAACTTTCTGCTCTCTAAATTTATTTTTGCTAATATTGACTCATTTCAGCTTTTTGACAGTTTTGCTGATTTTTTCACTTTTGTTCTACTTTCAAACGTTTAGCTCACATTAACAGCTTTGTTTTTAAATTTGTTCAGCTTCTTCAGCAGCTTTCAGCTAAAATCTTTCAGCTAAAATCTTTCAGCATAATGCAATCACAGGATTTAAGCAGGAAACGCAAATTATCAGTGTCCTGAACCTTTAATTAGAACCTTTAATTAGAACCTCAGACCTGAACCTTAAATTAGAACCTCAGACCAGAACCTTAAATTAGAACCTCAGACCTGAACCTTAAATTAGAACCTCAGACCTGAACATTAAATTAGAACCTCAGACCAGAACAATAAATTAGAACCTCAGACCTGAACCTCTAATTAGAACCTCAGACCTGAACTTTAAATTAGAATCTCAGACCTGAACCTTAAATTAGAACCTCGGACCTGAACCTTTAATTAGAACCTCAGACCTGAACCTTAAATTAGAACCTCAGACCTGAACCTTAAATTAGAACCTCGGACCAGAACCTTAAATTAGAACCTCAGACCTGAACCTCTAATTAGAACCTCAGACCTGAACTTTAAATTAGAATCTCAGACCTGAACCTTAAATTAGAACCTCAGACCAGAACTTTAAATTAGAATCTCAGACCTGAACCTCTAATTAGAACCTCAGACCAGAACTTTAAATTAGAATCTCAGACCTGAACCTCTAATTAGAACCTCAGACCAGA